CCCAAAAATTATAACACCCTCCCTTTCTGCTTTTTAATTGATGAAGATTACTAAAAACCGATAAATAATTGGAATCAAATGAATTAGAGAACAAGATAGCTGATGTGCTTACTATGCTCGCATGTTTTTCCTTGAAGGTAAGGCGGGCACTTGCAGGTAAATCCATTTTCTTTCGGCTCACACGTTCCTGAATTCTTGCATGGTGATGACATGCATTGATGTGCTGTGAATACGTACAGATATCAAGAATAGTTACTACATTATTTCTTTGCCACATTTGTTTTGCTATTTTCTGCTGCATCATCACGAATGATGTAATGACTCACCTTTCTTTTCACAACGATCACCATAATATTGTCCTGTGCATTCACAGCGGGTTGACTTTACCACAGTCTTGCATTTACCATTATTCTCACATGGCCTATCTTTCGAGCAATGTGAAACTGAAAAAGTAATAGTACTATGAATATGAGGACTGCATGGCACATTGATAAACATGATATAGAAATATTAGAAAGGAACAATGCTTAATTAGAAGGAGGTTATTCCGGGAGAAAGACCCTTGGAAATAAATTCGGAAAAATTAATTTCCGACCTCTCGCTGGGATTCAAACCAACGACCCTCGGATTTGTACTACCGATGCTCTACTAACAAATTAATTACAAGGTCACACTGGGAGCAAAAAAGTCAGATCCGACTTTTAGTTATTTTGGTTCAGTGACCATGCGCAAAGAATTGTAGACGAGGCTCATTTGAAGCAAAAGAATACATTAAGTTTATCACTCTGAAGACGACTTCCACGCTGGATATCGAGACGTCAGGAAGCTATAACGGTCTTCTTCAAGACTTCTCAACCCGGACAATCATACCACACCTACATTAAATTATCCATTGTCCCCCCGGAGCCTCTAACTGCTCGTCCGCAGTTCTTATACAACCCGCAAAATTAGTCGGCTATTATAAATAACACAATATACACTTATGGTGGACTTTTTATGACACAAATCACGGTACGGACGCGAAACGACACCGTCAYGGTCCATCGCTGGTAGTATTTTTTTAGGATTTTCTATCAAAGCCACTAACAGTCAAAACACTTCTCTCTATGTGCGCTGAAAATATATTGATAAATAAATATAAATATATAATTACCTGGATYTCCGGAGTTACAATAATCTCCAGAACAGCATTCTGCTTTGCAACTTTCAAAATTTTGTTTAATCACAGACTCCTCGACAATAGAACAAAATCCAATAGTGCAAACACCTTTGGGGATGCACCCGTGATACTCATACTCATATCTGCCTATTAAATTCTTGAGGATCTCTGGTATCTTGTTACTTATGCTTGACAAGACAGAAATATGGCTTCTTGAACTTCCTTTGAGATATACACATTGATCGTCYTCGCCCGAGCATGGCTGTAAGAGCTGTTCCTCAGTACCATTGATAAACATTGGCTTTGTTTGATAGATTGCATGGTAGCATTTGGGGAGTTTCTTTCCAGGAGCTAAAGAATAAAATACAGACAGTAAAGGACATTGTTAGACTGCCATGCGAAATTGCTGAATTAAATGACTATGATCAAAACTGACATCCAAAGGAAAAGGAAAAGGTGTTGGGTGCTAATCGTCCTTCATGGCAGCATGGGTGCTGAATTGCGAAAGACGCAGCTCGACGCGCTCTCACGTTGAGGTGCTATATTACAGACACATTTTACAGACACTTACACATAGGCGTGCTGCCGGCTAGGCGCTTCCTTTACATAGCAACGAACGACTGAACGCGGAGCACAGCAGATAGAAATGGTTCGTTTTTACTCCAATGCGTTTGTGTTATATATTTTTTGGGGAGTGGGGGTATTTTCATCCCCTCATTTTGATCCCTACAAATTTGTAAAGTCWCCTAATTTCAATAAAGATTCAAAGTTCCAGGAATACTCACAATGAACTGAATTATCACTTCGAATTATGTTACGAGCAACAGATCCTCAAATTAAATGTTTGGGGTCATGTACCAGCTCTTGCAAATCTAGCTCATGATTTAAAAAACAATATGGCTGAACAATAGATTGTCTTCCAAACAATATAACAAAATAGAAAGCAATATAAGCGTTTTACTAAAGGAGCAATCAAAAACCAGTTTTCGAGGGGTTCTAAAYAATTAAATTTCACCACCTTTTAAAAAGCCTTTATTTGCACGCGCGCGTTTGCTTGAATTCTCAAAATTACCACACTTAATCTAAAATAGTGTGATAGATATTATCAGATATTATTTAGATATTAATTGAATGCAGTATTTAAAATGTCCCAAAAGGTTTAATATAGAAAGAAAGTTAATCAGAATAAGTTCGAATAATTATTATTTCGGCGTTTGACCCCGGTCGGTGTACTCCCCTGCATTTTCTATACAGAGACGATTYGCCAAATAAATTTGTTTTGGGGCCTTTGCRTATTGAATAGGGTATGCAATTGACTTTYATTTGTCTTGAATACGGGTGTACTTTCTATGTTTTCCATGTCTTATAAGGGGTGTCATTATCTATCTAGTAGACTATAAAAAGTGAATAAATAATTCCATATTGACACCTTTCACAGGAGCGTTACTGAATTTGTTTATGACAGCCCTTAAGTCTTGGAAAGGATCTATATTTGTCTTAAATAGGGTACGAAATTGTGCAATAGACCAATCTCGAATTCGCTTGGATGAACACGGAACAATGGCTTCATTTCTTGAATTCTCAAAACTACCACACTATTTAAAATAATGACATTTTATATTTGATTGATGGATTAATAGCAATAATTGGATGTTTTTTCTTACTTGGTGTCGGTGTTTCTGTTGTAGATTTTCTTGGCGTATACGTAGTTCCTTAAAAGCCATGTATAATATATAATATATTTAACAATAGTTTATATATAAACACAAGCCTGTCGTTTTAGTATTTGGTGAAAAGGTCCCTACTATTGATCTGTTATCATTGGTTGGAGTCAAAGATGTAGTCACATATATAGTTATAAATAAGATATAAAAACACTTTTAATAACTTGCAGATGAAATGGTCTGAAAAGTACATATAGTAACACGGCTGTAATGTTTTGTAATGGTCGGTTAATGAAATTATATACACCCTTTTAATAAGTCCCGAGTTATTGTTTTCTCCCCACTTGACGTTAAATTTATTCTTTTGAAAATCTTTACAATACAAAAGAAATTCAAAGAATATATTTGACGTCAAGTGCGGAGAACGTAGTACCTCAGGACTTATTAAAAGGSTGTATAGTCCGCGCATTTCTGGGATAAGCCCTTTCAATCGTTGTTCCCTCGCATTGTTTTGTTTTGTTTTGTTTTTTGCCTTTGTGTTTTATTGTTGCTGTTGTTGTAGTCGTTATTGTTGTTGTTGTTGCGAGGAAGAGATGAGACTTGCGAAGTATCTAAAGGTTTCCTTCACATTTCCCTCCGTTATCTTGAAATTTAACCACAATACCAATGAAACGCAGGCAATGATAGAAACCTTTGATCACAAAACCAGCGTRMAATGATAGAAACCTTCTTTCACACCTACAGACAATCATTCACATATGTCTACTATTGCAGGCTCAAAGATGGCATCGATAATGGCGATGGGAATTGTGAAAATTCTATTTGCCAAGTTAGACATCATCTTCTGTAATGACAGGAAACCCCCTATTCCTCACCAACCAAGAAAACATATATGTCTTACCTGTTGTAGAACCTGAAGGAGTCACAGGGTCGGTAGTAGTTCGAAATACTGGTGTAGTGCCTTAATCGAATAAATATATATGAGTTCAGCTGTACTAAGGAACTGCGCAATATTTATCAGGGGGGGGGGGAGGTTGAGAATACAAGTGGGATCTAATTTTATGTGCTTAAAGACGGTGAGCACGATCTACGTGCCAGGATTTGCAACAAATTTGCAACCAAAGAGTGTAATTTATTACGTTTTTTTTCGAAGCTCACATGTGCCAAATTGTGTTAGTCGACTAGATAATAATTGAATGCAGTATTTAAAATGTTCCAAAAGATTTAATGTAGAAAGAAAGTTAATCAGAATAAGTTAGTTTTGGAGCATTTGCGTATTTAATAGGGTATGCAATTGACGTTCATTTGACTTGAATACGGGTGCATTTTCTATGTTTTCCATGTCTTATACATATCTATCTATTAGACTATAAAAAGGGAATTGATAATTCCATATTGAAACCTTTCACGGGAGCGTTACTGAACTTGTTTATGCCAGACCTCAAGTCTTGGAAAGGAACTATATTGGTCTTAAATAGGGTACGAAATGTGCAATTGCTGTCCTGTCTTGAATAACACCCTCACAGCCCATACCGCTTGACCCTGGCCTTGATCTCATGAGCAACTAATTTACCTGGTATTTTTTCGTCAGAATTGCAGTAGTCTGTGTCGCAGCATCTGAATTTGAGAGTTTTGGTATTTATATTGACGTTACTTAATATTCCAGACAAAAACCTGTTCAAGGCTGTAGAGTTACAAAGGGATGCATTCATACAGCTCCTTATATTGTACTCCCCAGTGATGTTGGATATGCTTGACTTAAGTTTAAATGCAACGCTGACATTCATGCACTTAGCCACTGATCTGGGGCACTGCTGATGTTGTAGAGGCTGCTCTGATATGACTGTCTTCAGTTGGGTTCCATTGGGTAATGTGTATGAATATGTCATTCTGTAGGAAAACGCGCAACCCAAACGGTTTTGGGGGTCTACAACGAATCGACGAAAAAACCAATAAGTACAATCAGAAACTCATAAGGGGATTGAAACGTGTAGCAACAGTACATTTCTTTGGTTCGATGCTCCGGAATATTCAAAACGCCAATAAATCAACTGAAGTCATTTTACAACCATATTTGGAACAATACTATACCTCATTCCATGTCCTTGGATGGTAATCAGTTGAGTTTGTACGATTTTCAGCTCTTTTGAGCATTTTAGCTACATTTTAGAACCATTTAAAACGAGACAACTTTTTGCCGCCGTCTGTCCGCCATTTTGTTTTCATCTCAAACTCAAATGTTTGGCCCAAATATGGTACCAAAATTATGCTAATCATTTTGAATATTCCGGAGCATCTGACCGTGCTACACGTTTCAATCCCCTTATGAGTTTCTGA